AGGTTTACTTTGCTTGATCTAGCAGAGTAAACCTTTCCCTGCTCTGGTTCGCTTTTTTTTTTTTCTCTGACATCGGGGCCGACTGCCAGCGTCGGTGAGAAAAAAAAAACCAGCATAGGAATGCATAGCTAGATTCCTATTGGCTATTTCACTTTGCAATAGCAAACTGGCTATTGCACCCGCCCACTGCTGCTGTCAATCAGCAGAGGGGGACCTGAAGTTCTCCATCAGGTCCTCTTCTAGTGATTGACAGCACCAGAGGGAGGGTGCAATAGCCAGCTCGCTATTGGATATTGCAAATTAAAATAGCCAATAGCAATCTAGCTATGCATTCCTATGCTGTTTTTTTTTTTTGTTTTTTTTTTTTTCTGAAGGCAGCAGCTGTCAAAAAACTAAAAAAAAAAAAAAAAAAGAGGGCCACATCCCTGAAATTGCTTTTTTTTCAGGTTGGGATCCCTGCTAATATATGATCTTTGCTTTCTCTCCTACTGGCCTACCAAGGAGGGAGTGTGGGGTAGCTGTTTGTGAGGAGATTCAGAGTTGTGAGTTGTCATCAGCCTCATACTTCTGAGTCTCCGCTCACATGCTGAATCTGGTCACAGTCAGAGGACACGGCTCCTACATTTGAAATGTTTTCCTGTGTAGATTTGTTTGTAAGTAGTTTTGATCATTCAGAGCATTGGAGATGAGATTACAAGCAGTGAAACTGTCACTATGAGGGGAATTGATCCAAATTGGAGCAGTTGCCCATGGCAACCAATTGGCGTCGCTTCAGTTTGCTCAGTTGAGATTTGAAAATGATAGCGAAGCTGGTTGCAGTGTAAATGTGCTCCATGTTTTGATCAATTTCCCCCCATGTGTCTAGTGAGTGGGAGTGGGGAAGAGGCAGCTGTGTGCAGTGAGAGATGATTTCTGTCTGCCTCATTGGAGTTGTAGGCAAAAAAAGATGTGCACGGCTCTAACTAAGGGACAGGAAGTGTAAGGGGAGAGAAGAGCAACAAGAGTGAGCACAGCAGACTTTATAAAGGGATTAAAGACCTAGGACTTTATTTAAAAACCATAAATAAATGTGGCTTTGGAGAATGTTCATTGTGTAGATGTGTATAAGGAGAAAAAGCTGAGGGTTTCGTGTCCCTTTTTAAATGGCGTCTCTATTGAAGAAAGTTTAAAAATAACACTTACTGGCTGTGCCACTAGATAAAAGAAAAGCTATTGCAGCCACCATACCTAAGACTGGTATGCTGCAATATATTAATCATTTATTGGTTTTGTGTTTAGACATGCATTAAGTAGTACAAGGAAAGTTCATGGCATTATGGGGGTTAAGTCCCGTAATGAAAAACCTGGAGATAATGAGGGGAAATACAAATGACAGAGTTATTCACAAAAGGGTGAAGAGTTTGGAGAAGGCAGGAGAAGTGAACAATCTAGGACAACATAGCTGAACTGGAGAGTGAGCTGAATTGGAGACTGTTTTCAGATCAGCTATGTTGTCCTAGATTGTTCACTTCTCCTGTCTCCTCCTAAGGCTGGGCACACACCTTACAACCATCGCAAGACTTTTGTCTTGCGATGGTTGTAAGGTACTTTAAAAAAAAAGAGTACGGTCTGCCTATCTTGCATAGGCAGATCGTACTTGCGATCGCAAGCCACGCCCCCTGAGGGGCGCGCTTCCGATGACCGCAATGCCAAACGAGCAGTGTGCGCATGCGCACACCGGCCCGTCCGGCCTTTATCTCACGAACATGCTACACACCCGCCGAACATCGTACGATGCTCTGCGGGTTTTGAAACATGGTCGTAAGTTTAAAGTCGTGCGACCTTACAGTAGTAGAGGTCGCATGGCTTCCACACACCTTACGATAATCATACGATCGCGGGATTTCCCGCGATTATCGTACGGTGTGTGGGGGCCTTAACTCTTCTCCCTTTTGTGAATAGCCCTGTGAGTTTTTTCCTCTGAACAAGAGGCAAGTGTAAATCTTCCAGTGGCGACACCCGTTTCAGTCTGCTGTATAAAAGGGAAATTCCCCTCACTATGGAAGATTTCCTCTACTTTCCTCCTGCTAAAAAATGTTTTACCCTTCCCTGCTCTATCCAAAACAGACTGCCACACACCCACTTGACACAAGTCCTCCCCTGTGTTAAATCTGATTATTCTCAGTTCTCTGCACCTTGCATCTCTGCTATATAACCCTTTGTATACCTGCAGCAGCTATCTTTTCCACCAACCTTCATTTCCTGTCTGAACGACTTCATCAATCTTCTTTCCATCTGACCCTTGCTGTTATTGGCCAGCCTCTCGTAGCTATTAGCTTTCTATGCCATTGATCATTCTTGCTCTTCGTCATGTGTGGGCATGATCTTCCCCAGCATTGTATGAAAGAACACATCCCCCTGCATCCTTACTGGCCACCAGGTGCTTTACACTTTAATTTGTGCAATCTGCTGATCAGTTACTTGATTGCACACTTATTATAATGTAATCAAGGAACTGCTCAGATGATTGCATAGCTAAAGTCTTAAGCGCCCAGTGGTCAGCAGGGATGTGCATCTAAAAGGTTGCTAGGGATGTATGTTGTTTCATATAACACTCAAGGGATGCTGCTGTGCTATTTTTATAGTAGCCTACCTGCTTTTCCACCAAACTCGCCCTTACTAGGGTGTAAAAGCCAGCAGATAGAACCAGGGATGATATCGCTGGGTCTCGAGGTATTTATTGAAAAATGTTAATTGGACGTTGATCGGGGAGGGTGGAAACACGCATACATTTCACTTTAGCTTCAATTTACACAAATGAGGAGTGTCCCTTCTCTTACTCTGTAGATTTGGGAATTTCAGTTAAGCTGGCCTACATTGTAATCTTTTCTTTGGTCAACATGCGGGCTCAACAAAGAAAATATAACTGATTTCTCCATCAACTCTTACGTACGTTGATTGACAAATCTCCTGCTGTCTTTGTGTTTGGAAAGCAGCCGCCGGCCACTGTCGGAATAACCAGCACCTCGCTGTCTGCCAGCTTTCTTCCTTCGAAGATTTTCTGACTGGCTCCTTCTGCCAACTTAAAGGGTGCAAACAGCGGCACGCACTGTCAATTTCAGACAGTTCATAAAGAAGCGGCTGAAATTTGCACAATGTATGGTCACTGTTAGAGACAGGCCTGCCGTGTTTGCCCTAAAGGACTCTTCGGACTTTCATTTGTTTTCTACTTAATGATTTTTTTTTAGGCTTGGTATGAGCTGATGGTGTTTCCCCTTCAAGTATTTTTAGTCACCTCTTTTGTTAGACAACAATGCCCTATGGATTGTTTTCCTGTGTCTTAACGCCTTGCTCGGTCTTCTCAGTTGTTTTTCTTTCTCCTTTTCTCCAGTTTCCCCTTTTATGTAAATACTACGGCCCGGACCTAATAGCCCTAAATCCTCTTTCCACCACTTGTAATTAAGTAATCCGTTTACCTGTATTGTTCTAGTTTCTTCTCAAACAACCTATCTTCTGATGTACAAGAAGATATCTTCAGGATTAGCTTGGATGGTTATACTACAAACAGTTCTTAAATTAGGTTTCCTGTTTTTCTCGTCTTTATTATTCTAATTTCAGATACATTTTAATGTGTTCCAAATTTGTGGTCATTACTATATCCAAGTCCAGTTTGTGCATCGTTCCTGTTTGAATTTGTGCATATTCCAGTGGTGGAAAAGCTGCTGCAGAATTCAGAGACCAGTCAGTCCAAGAAACCTGTTCTTTTACTCAGTTGTATATGTTGAGTAAAAGGTGTTGCACCAGTGCAGTGCTGGTGGCCATTGCCCATTTCCTGGATGCAGTTCTAAATTTAGGTGAAGCTTGTAACTGTTTGTTTGAGGGTGCACTGGTAACCATGCTTGTTGGGTGGGAACCTTGTCTCCTTTTTTTTTTTTGTGTGCTTTTAAAAAGGTAGTTTGGCCTGAAATCACATACTTATCATGATCAATAAAGATAGCATGCTATAATTTGTTACTCAGTTGACTGTTCTATTGGCTAGCTCATGTTATCTCTCATTCTCTTACTTTTTCTGGCTATTGTTTGAATAAAAACTGCCATAAATTACCTCCATAAAAGTGTCTTTCTAGATCCTCTATTAATAGGAATACAGCATAGCAACTCTTTAACAAACCTGACAAGACAGCAAAGCCATACAGGTTATGGTCAGAACTGACTCAAAGAATCAAAAAGCCCTGCCACTGCATAGGGCAATGATTGTAATGGCCCTGCCCACTGTCCTGACATGAGGAATAATAATCCTATTTTTGGGATATGTAATAGAATGAAACTGTTGAATACCTTTTTTGTTTTTTTAGGCTTTACTGTAATTCATTAATGCCCACATATCAATTACCATCGTTCCTTGCATTCTGTGCCGGAGTACAGTTTGCTGAGTGGTGGAATTACAGTCATGGACCATGGAAATGCTTGATTCCATTGTTAAGAGAAGTATGGGGTAACCTCTTTATCACGTAGTTTTCTTTAGGCCAAAGCTCGGTAGACAGCGAGCAGCAGCTCGCTATATACTGAGAGCGACCCAGCCGGGACGGATCCTGACCATACCGTCAAGATCCATCCAGCTAGCTGATTGACAGCGGTCTCTGCCTATCTAGAGGCAGAGCCAGCTGTGCCCACCCCCTCCCAGTCCGTACCTCCAGTCAGCTCTGGAGGATCGGGGAGGGGGGGGAATCCCTGCCGGGAGCGGTGACTGACAGTCACCGCTCACTACGTAGAGACGATCAAGAAGTGAGCGGATCGGCTGCATGTTTCTGCTCACTTCCAGATCAATAGAGCTGACTTATGACCGCTTCTTTGTCACACGTCATGCTCTAACTATGAGGATGAGTGGAAATCACTCACCTCAATCCTTAAAAGGAGAACTATGAGAAGCCTTGACATCTTTGTACTTCATTCTTTTTATTCATTTGTTTATTAAAAGGAATCTAAGGAGTCACAGTATTCATTGAATTTTCTCCTTTTAGATGGGGTCGTGGATTTGGACTTTTTGGTTCCATCTTTGGAAAGGATAGTCTAATGAATCAGCCAAACAGTGTCTTTGGAGTTATATTTTATTTACTACAGATGTTACTTGGTGAGTATTTGTCAAATATGATTTTCTGGTTAACAAGTATGCATATGTGGGTATCCAGACTACTACCAATGGGCTACATCGGTTGTAATTGACAGAGTTCTGAAATGGAGCTGGGTAATGACAAGGTAACAGCTAAGTGGTTTGCTATTGTGTTTGACCTCTGTTCTGTCAGTATGTATTAACAGCCACAAATCAGAAGTTTTTATATCTATATTATGTTTATCTGTTCTCTTCCCAAGGCTGTATTTCTTGCAGGTTTACCCTGTATAACTTACTAATGGTATATAGACTAGTGGGATAAGCCCAGTAGGGATCAATTGACTGACAAATCAAAAAAATAATTTTTCCTGTAATAATGCAGACTTGTACAATCTTAGAAGAATGTTGCACAATTTATGATTTGCAGCTGCTTTTGATTCCCATTTTGGATGATGCTCTACATGTCAGGCAGATCTGCATAGACCTTTTGTTTCACCTGAGTATTTCTGTGCATGTCTGTCTAATGCACCCTTTCTCAACCAGGGTGCCTTATGACCTCCTCAGGGGTGCCTTACAATGTTCAAGTGATATCATGCCTTTCCATGCTGCAGGTGGGCCATAGTGAGAGGGGGTAACGCTGATGTGCAGGGTACTTTTAATGTGATAGGGGACTTTTAATGTGATAGGGGACGTGTGCTGTAAAGGGACTCCGATGTGAAAGGGAGTCACCCTTAGAAATCCATACCAAACCCCTATCTGCACACAGAGATGATGGGACAGGAGAGAGGTGGCAGGGGAAGAGCCAAGGAGGGGGGGTCGTCAGTGTACACAGAGATGAAGTGGCAGGCACTCCAGACTGCCCGTCACAATTCTGGAAGAGCAGTTGCAGGTAACTAGATCATCAATACCAGCTCATATAACATGGCTCCTCGAAGAGCAGCAGTTCCAGCCATCCCATTAGGGGTGAGTTAATTAACTGTTTGGCCAAATATAACTGACTCATTTTTTAATTGCTCATTTTGTATGGCCCACAAATTATTATTATTTTAATTGTTTTCATAAATGCAATAAATGCTCCAAAATCCAATTTTATTTTTCTCCAGCCACAACTTCCTGCCGGACGGTGGCTACTTCTCTTCTCTATGGTCCCTATGTGTGCTGAAAAGTGACCACCCCATGAGAACGACTACAACATGCTGAGGGCGTGTCTTCTCAGTCTCTGCCCACAAATCCTCCCCTCCAGACTCTGCAAGGAGCTGGGATTTATTCAGCTCTCCCACACTGAAGCTGCCCACACACCTTACAATTTATCTGCAGATTGTCTGTGGTCAGATGGAAAAAGTGCAACAGATTGGCCCAGGTGGAGATGACTCCATCCACACAGTTAAGTGTAGATGGAGGAATCTGTTGCACCTTTTCCATCTGACCACAGACAATCTGCAGATAATTGTAAGGTGTGTGGGCAGCTTTATGTTAGAAATATCCAAATGACCCTTGGCAGATAAAAGGTTCCCCACTCATGCCTTTAAATGTTTTTTGGTGCATTTTATTTAAAGCTGGAAGCCTTACCTTTAGTCAGTTGTACAGGCTCCTCTCCTGTACTGAAATGGCTTATACTAATTTCACAGAACACTGGTGGTCTCTAATGCACCTTGTGAGAAGCTCAAAGGCTGATGGAGTATGCCCTATTTGCTGGTTGGAGGACACCCACTATCTCCTAGCTCTTTGCTGCCCAGCCTTACTGTCCGTGATCTACCACTTTCCTTTGTTGGATTGTAGTTCTCTCACTCATGGAGACTTAACATCACGTGTGTACGTTACCCTGGGTGATCTGCATGCTTATACAGTCTGCCTAGGTATTCCCACACCTCCAGACTGACCTCCACTGATCAAGTTATTTTGATATTTGCATATTCCCTCAAGAGCCAGCCCACTGCTTTCATGAGTGATCAGGTGTATGCATAGAGCAATGAATGGCTAAAACCACTGTTTGGGTCTGTGCCCCAATGGGGAGATTTATTTCCAAACTGTTCTTAGACAGTTGTCACCGGACCAACTGTTCACAATTGGAGGCTTCCTCATAATTCTGTACTGGCCACTTGTTAACTTATTTGAATGAGATTGCTGGGGCGGACCTTGATCTCCACCTAAGCAGTACAACAAAATATATTGTGACAACATTACTGTTTTTTTTTTATGAATGATCCATGCAACTACTGCAGTAAAGTGATTACATCAGGTATGTGGGACGGAGGAGCTCTGGGCATCAAGGATGGGAGAAAGCTGTGGGCAATCGAGCTATGCCCAAGGTGGTAAACCTACCAAGGTTAACTCTTAAATGAACTTTTTTAAATCCATTCTAACTGTATTGCATGAAATCTGTTATGTTTTGGATGTAGCACTGAAAAGCCTAGACTTGAAGTGACTTGAATTAACAGTGATCCTATTGTGCTCATTGGGCCCCTTTCACACGAGCATTCAGGTTGTCAAGTTTTTAACCCTCCGTTGCAGATGAGAAATGGACAACAATACATCTCTATGGCCGTGCGGATGAAAACTGATGACCATCAGTTTAAATCAGGACACATCAATATCAGTTGAGGTCCGCAATTTGAGACAGATCAGCTCTGTTTTGACTGACCGGGACTCGTGTAAACTGATGATCAATTTACATCCGTTCAGGTTCCGTCCGGTTTTTGGGACTGATGTCGTAATACAGCATGGCAAGCTCAATGCATGCTGGGGGGAAAGCAAAGAATCATGGGAATTTACCATACTATGTAAAAAACGGATCTAAACTGTGCGTGTCTTCTCAGTCTCTGCCCACAAATCCTCCCCTCCAGACTCTGCAAGGAGCTGGGATTTATTCAGCTCTCCCACACTGAAGCTGCCCACACACCTTACAATTTATCTGCAGATTGTCTGTGGTCAGATGGAAAAAGTGCAACAGATTGGCCCAGGTGGAGATGACTCCATCCACACAGTTAAGTGTAGATGGAGGAATCTGTTGCACCTTTTCCATCTGACCACAGACAATCTGCAGATAATTGTAAGGTGTGTGGGCAGCTTTATGTTAGAAATATCCAAATGACCCTTGGCAGATAAAAGGTTCCCCACTCATGCCTTTAAATGTTTTTTGGTGCATTTTATTTAAAGCTGGAAGCCTTACCTTTAGTCAGTTGTACAGGCTCCTCTCCTGTACTGAAATGGCTTATACTAATTTCACAGAACACTGGTGGTCTCTAATGCACCTTGTGAGAAGCTCAAAGTCTGATGGAGTATGCCCTATTTGCTGGTTGGAGGACACCCACTATCTCCTAGCTCTTTGCTTCCCAGCCTTACTGTCCGTGATCTACCACTTTCCTTTGTTGGATTGTAGTTCTCTCACTCATGGAGACTTAACATCACGTGTGTACGTTACCCTGGGTGATCTGCATGCTTATACAGTCTGCCTAGGTATTCCCACACCTCCAGACTGACCTCCACTGATCAAGTTATTTTGATATTTGCATATTCCCTCAAGAGCCAGCCCACTGCTTTCATGAGTGATCAGGTGTATGCATAGAGCAATGAATGGCTAAAACCACTGTTTGGGTCTGTGCCCCAATGGGGAGATTTATTTCCAAACTGTTCTTAGACAGTTGTCACCGGACCAACTGTTCACAATTGGAGGCTTCCTCATAATTCTGTACTGGCCACTTGTTAACTTATTTGAATGAGATTGCTGGGGCGGACCTTGATCTCCACCTAAGCAGTACAACAAAATATATTGTGACAACATTACTGTTTTTTTTTTATGAATGATCCATGCAACTACTGCAGTAAAGTGATTACATCAGGTATGTGGGACGGAGGAGCTCTGGGCATCAAGGATGGGAGAAAGCTGTGGGCAATCGAGCTATGCCCAAGGTGGTAAACCTACCAAGGTTAACTCTTAAATGAACTTTTTTAAATCCATTCTAACTGTATTGCATGAAATCTGTTATGTTTTGGATGTAGCACTGAAAAGCCTAGACTTGAAGTGACTTGAATTAACAGTGATCCTATTGTGCTCATTGGGCCCCTTTCACACGAGCATTCAGGTTGTCAAGTTTTTAACCCTCCGTTGCAGATGAGAAATGGACAACAATACATCTCTATGGCCGTGCGGATGAAAACTGATGACCATCAGTTTAAATCAGGACACATCAATATCAGTTGAGGTCCGCAATTTGAGACAGATCAGCTCTGTTTTGACTGACCGGGACTCGTGTAAACTGATGATCAATTTACATCCGTTCAGGTTCCGTCCGGTTTTTGGGACTGATGTCGTAATACAGCATGGCAAGCTCAATGCATGCTGGGGGGAAAGCAAAGAATCATGGGAATTTACCATACTATGTAAAAAACGGATCTAAACTGAACTGACAATGGATGTGCAAACTGATGTAAACTGTTTCAGTTTTTTTGTATCAGTTAACCTTAACTGATGACACTCGTGTAAAATGGGCGATCCGGTTTTTGTTCTAGACAAATACAGGAGCTTCGTTGTGTCCCCCTATTCTTGATTCTAAAAGAAGGTTCATGAAAGATAATGTACTTCTTACCTTGGAATTGTAGCAATAAGATTGGGTATTGGGCAGTGGCAAAAGCATTGTTTTATACAGTACATGCTGTATAGTGAGTGTTTTTTCACTCCCTGGGTTCCATCTACTTTAGAATCCTGTGTTTTGACATTAAAGAGGAACATTACCTACCAATTTATTGTTTCCCAAAACAGCAACTTTTAAGGCATGCCAACTGTCAAGGTTCCCAGTGTGCTTATTTCAGCTCTCAAGCAATGGTTGGTGTCATAGGTGATCACACCCTATTGTGATATGTATTGTCGCAGCAAGTCGTTTTTTCTATTGCTTTTTTTATATCTACCCTAAGGCTGGGATTAGATGGAGTTATTTTCTATGTCTATTGCAGACTCAGCCAACATTTGGGCCATTGTATTCAGGCAGCTGCGCCTGCTGATGCTTCCAGTGATTATATCTTATAGGATATCTCTTGCAGAGCCACCCACAGCTCAGACTTCCACCCGATTCAGCAAAAATTGTCCAATTTGAGCAGTCTATCTCTAGCTTAAGTATGCATATCTAAAGCTGACCATACACTGTTAGATTTTCTCTCATTCAGCCCCATGGGGGAGAGATCATTAGATACTCCCATCCACAATAAGCCATGGGGAAAGAGAAATCCCAACTGCTGACTATTGTATTCAGCAGCCACTGGTCCTGCGACTGCTGAATTTGATTCAATGCAACCACTTCTCTGTCGATAATTGCTTTTAACCCGGCTCCTTTGGTTTAAAAATAGACTTTTGTTGAACCTGTCTGTGCCGACAGGACCACTCACAGCTCGAATTTTGGCTGATTCAGCTGGAATGAGCCAAAATGTGAACTGTCAGTGGCCAGTTCAAGTACATAGCGGACACCCTCCGCTCTCACTTTACCTTGGCGTTTGGCACTTTTTCCATGCTATGTTCACACCATGTCCGGAACAGATCAGGAGCAGATCTGCAAATGCAGCGCAGTGTGTTTTTGTTTTGTTTTGCTTAAAATGGGCTTTCAGGTGCAGTCCAGTGCGTTTACATGCATTCCAGAACATGGGAAATAAGAAGCAGCATTTTTTTATTTTTTGGTCTCGACTGGAACGGACTGCACTGGTGTGAACAGAGCCCCATAATCCAGAATTACATCTTCTAGTTCTTCTCCTTTCTCCCTTTTGTTCATTAATCAGAATACTGCCACCTCTGAAAATGCTGTTGGTGTTTGAACTGATTATCTCTTGTCTTTTTCTTTTTCCAGGTATGACAGTAAGCGCTGTAGCAGCATTAGTGCTAATGTCCACTTCTATAGTATCAGTGGTAGGATCCCTCTACCTGGCATACATCCTGTACTTTGTGCTGAAGGACTTGTGTGTTATCTGTGTCACCACCTATTTGCTGAACTTCATTCTACTTATCATCAACTACAAACGACTAGTTTACTTGAATGAGGCCTGGAAAGAGCAGCTGCAGGATAAACAAGAATAAGAGGCCTCTCAAACTTTGACTCATGTCTGAAGGACACTGCTTCCTTAACGTTTATTTTGCAGTACATTTTTATTGGTTGAGGGAAAGACGGTTTCCAAGATAAAGAACAATCTTAACCAACTTTTTATTTTTTATTTTTATTTTTTTTGACTGAAAGGGCCCTGGATATGTGTATTTGCTATTGCACCTCCTTATTGACTTGGATGAAGGCGTGATCATTTAAGATTCCGTGACAAGCTTTAACTGTACTTAACAAGGTGTTTTGAATGGCTCATTGTCTTTTTGCAGCATATTTTCCTCCTGTGCCTCCCTCTGCTCAGTGTATGTTTGAGTGTCAAGCCTTTGATGCGGGTAATGTGTTTTTTTGTTTTTGTTTTTTTTATTTCTAAAAAAAAAAACTTGTGGCTAACTGGCTGGATACTCTATTGCCATGCATCTGTGGATACATTTTATGTTTGCAGAGCCAATGAACAGCTTTTAACCTTTCACTTGCTTGTCACAACCATATGGGACTTGCCACATTGGAGAAATGAACAACAAGGGTACATTCTTACAAGAGAGCATCCTTCTTGCACTAGTTTCAGATTAATCTGAATTCTACAAGTTATCTCCTCTGCTGATGTATTCTAGTACAGTTGAATGACACCTTCTGCAATCTGACAGTATGGTTTCATGCAAATAGGTAATCTTAAAGCAAGGTGAAAGGAAGCCAACATTTTTCAGTGTCTCCAAGATCAATGTAACCATTCAGCATTATAAATTTGAGGATACGTTCCCAGGATACAATTGAGTGAGCAGTTTACAATATTTTTAAAAAGCTATTTTAGCCTAGTAGTTAAACTGCATGCTACAGAACCTTTCAGGAAAGCAAGAGGTTGAACCTGGTGTGGATGTTTCATAATGTGCTAACAGTAGCATAGGATATGCCTTGGTTTGCTTAAAATGCAACACCTTATAGCATAGTTAGTAGGGGTTGTCCTCCACTAGTTAAAATGTTTCTCTTTTTTTAAGCTCCACAACCTAGTTACATCCTGTTTTTAATGTTTTTCATTAATAGGGGCAAATGTGATGCTGACTGCCTACTCTGATTTATTACATGGTCACATCACAATCCTGCATACTACTGCAATGGCAGAAAGCATTTATGGCTGAAGAGTTGTGCTCGGACATACTGTTTTGCCGTTTACCAATTTGTTGGAAGTCATCTCATTTACAGCACACTAAATTCATGCTGCTAATGAGATGATAGGCAGCAATTGGTAAAATATCTAAGCAGCAAGAGATGAAATTTGTCTGGGCAGTGCCACTCCTAAGGTGATTGATTGAGGGTGGAGAGATGTTGGTACACTGTTGTGGTTTATAGGCACATAATTGTTGGCCACAAGTAGTGTTAGGAAGTTTCCTATGTGTGCCTATGTTATGTCTTGGGCAGTGTGCACGCATTGGCACAGCTAAATAACCTTTTGAACCTAAGTGTAAATGCCAATGGTCAATCCAGCAGTCACTAAAGCTTTCTGGTCATGTTAGGTTCCTTGGTCTGATGGTGGACAAATTCATAGGGTGCCGGAGCCCTTGACTGAGCTTATGGTCAAAATAAGATCTTTTGCTACTACTTTCACAGATAACACATTTCAGAACCTAAGATAATTCCAAAATCTCTTTTAGGGTAAGGTCTAAATCTTGGAATGTTTTTACTCCTAATTCGGGCTTTGTAAGCCTCTCTGTGAGCCATGGCATGGCTTACTAAATGATACGGTTTTGGTGTAAGTGCTGATTGATGATTCAGTATTGTGTGGCTTTTCTCTCCTTGGTGACTACATACATCTGGGAAATGAATCATCCACAGAGCTTAACGCTGACTTTCAACTGTCACCTACATTTCTGGCTGCACCTGTTCATTGTGGCAGCTCGCTTTTGTATTTTTGCTCTACTTTTAGCCATATGTGTAACATTTGAAGAGCACCTGTTGACATGATCATTTTGAAACATTTTGGTTTAGGACATTTGGGAATGATTTGCGTTAGTTTTGGGAATGAGGTCATTTTTTCTATAGCAGTAATGTTGCTAAAGACTACAAAAGCTGAGCTTTAGGCAAATGGCTAAATACACAGTGGAAACGTGTGAACGTCCAGTCAAAATCTTTCTAAAGGTATTTGGTTATTTGGTGACTCTTTTGACTTGGTAGCAGTACCATTCACTGGGCGGGCAGCATTTGGTCCCTTCCTTGTACTATGAACATCATGATCATTTAGGGAGAAGGAGTCCAGTTGACCGTCAAATCACCACCACCACCTCCACCTCCTCCTCTAGATCCTGTTGCCTAAAAACCTGTTAGATTCACACTACATAACCATTAAGTCTTCTGCTGTGCAGAGGTTTGTGTGAAGATCATAAAGGAAATCAGTCAAGAGAGAAACCAAGACTGTTGCTTCTTGCATCATCTGAAAATGTTAGCTGTCCAGCTTATCATACTGCTCCTATGGCTTCAATAATAATGTATAATTGATCTGGAAGAAGTATGCAGATGGGAACCCCTGACTTTTCACTATTGAATCCATTGGGTCAGTATAACAGCCGGGCAACTAGCTTTTTCCGGAGGCCAGCAACCTCCATTTAAAATTGGGCATGATCTATCTGTACAGCTTGCTCTTATAGTTGCTGCCAATTTAGTCATTCAAGCAGATCCTGAGAATTGCTACAGACCAGCCAAATGTCCCTGTTTAGTGGGACACACTTGTGAAAGAACAATCTGTAGTAACGGAAGGAGGCAATGTGCTTTTTAGTCCATGTGCAAAAACGTTTAAGATGTACGGCAGATCTAAAAGTAAGTTGTGTACTTGTTTCTGAAATATTGCTAAGGCTTCGTTAGTATTGGTCATGTCCTATTTTTGCAGCTGGTTGTAAATTTTTCCTTGATTTAGTTGGATTTGCCTTTTTAAAAAAGTTTCTGTGATTCCCATTCAGAGCTGATAGTAGTCCTTGCTTGTGTTCTGTAAATGGTTCTCATTATTGGTGAGGTCGGACCCATACAGCCTCATGGGAGCTGGACTCTTAAGAGACTTGCTGTGACTGCAGCAACCGGTTTCCTGGAAGTCTTTCCTTAAATGTGTGACCACGCTGCGATCTGCATGGCTTTGCTGTTAGAGAAAGTGCCTTTTTTAGCTTTCTGCCTTTCTGGAAACTATTCTAGAGATGTCATTTGTCTAGGTGCAGAACACCGCTTTGTCCTAGGATTCACATTCCCATTGTGCACATTTCTTGACTGCTTTGCTTCATTTATGCAAAACAATGTGAGATACCCATATGTATTTTCTGGTCCTTGGTAAACTTTTATTTTACTGGCTAGTCTGCAGTGGCCTAAGGATGACTGTTTCTAACCCAAACAAATATTGATCACTTTCTTAGTGGCCAATACCTGTCAAATTTGCAATTGATGCCTGAGGTTTGTAGAACCCTTCATTCTATAATCTGTTGCAAAATACTGATGATCACTGCGCTATGTATGTATAATACAGTTGTGTTCAAAAGTTTGCATACCCTTGGAGAATTTGTAATATGTGTACTATTTTAAAATTAAAACGTGAGTGAGCAGGCAATCACATTTCTTTTCCTATGGGATTCATATTCAACTGCTGCGCAATCCTAAAACAAAACATGGCAACAAACAAAAATGAAATGACCCCTTTTCAAAAGTCTGCATCCCCTTCGTTCTTAATACTGTGTATTGCCCCCTTTTTAGCATCAATGACAGCATGCAGTCTCTTGTAATCGTTGTCTGTGAGCCCCAAATTCTTGCAGATGATATACGTCTTGGCAAAATGCCTCTAGGTCATGCAAAGTATGTGGTTGTCTTGCATGAACCGCACATTTGAGATCTCCCCAGAGTGGCTCGATGATATTAAGGTCAGGAGACTGTGATGGCCACACCAGAACCTTCACCTTTTTCTGCTGTAACCACTGGATGGTCATTGTGGTGCTAAAAAGTCCAAGAGGGTCCCATGCGCAGCTTTCATGCAGAAGAATGCATGAGGATGGTGTTCTTGTTGCTATAAGCCTTGTTGACCCCTCTCCAAACATAACGCTTATGGTTGTGACCATAAAGCTTTATTTTGGTCTCATCACTCCAATTACAGTGTGCCAGAAGCTGTGAGGCGTGTCAAGGTGGTGCAGTAAAGGCTTTTTTCGGGCAACTCGACCATGCAGCCCATTTTTATTCAGGTATCGTTGTATTATGCTCCTCAACACCACCACACCGTCTTTTTCCAGAGCAGCCTGTATTGCTCCTAAGGTGCCTCCTGGGTTTTTCTTTCCCAAACAATTCTTCTGGCATTTGTGGCTGCAATCTTTCTTGGTCTACCTGACCTTGGCTTGGTATCAACAGATACCTGAATTTTTCACTTTTGACAGTTCTTTTCTGCTCCCCATGGCTCAGTATCTAGCCTGCTCAATGCATCCACGTGGGAGCTAACAAACTCATTTACTATTTTTACACAGACACAAATTGCAATTTAAAAAGCCACAGATGTGAGAAATTAACCTTTTAATTGCCATTTTTTAACTTGTGTGTCTAGAACTAGGCCAAACATTTCAGGGTATGTAAACTTTTGATCAAGGTCATTTGGGTGATTTGTTATCATGATTAAAAGCAGTCAAACTACTATGTGATGATAAATGACTTTGTATGACCTCTATCCTTAAATAAAGGACTGTTTTTGGCATGATGAGTCATATTTTCAATATAAACACCAAAATTTCAAGATTTCTGCCAGGGTATGCAACTTTTTGGGCACAACTGTGTGTGTGTGTGTGACAATACTTTGTTGAACGCAAATATTCAGTCATTTGAAGCACAATTTGCCACTTTACTCTGTCCTTTCCTAATCATTTGCAATATGTCCTAATGTTTTACTTTCTTACAAATGTAATGCTTTTAACATTTTTTTATGTTTTACTTTTTGTTTTTTAAATCTTCATATTGCACTGAAAAATGTGGTTGTATCATTCTAGCAAGAATACCCTTAGAAACTAAACTTTTTTTTTTTAACATGTTCTAAAAGTCCTCTTAACATCCAGTGTATTATAGCAGAGGTTATTTTTTTTTTTTTTAATACTGTTTAGTAAATAAATTGAGGCATAAGAGCAAGGTTTACAGCAAAGATGGACAATCTTCATCTCCCTCAGATCATGAAAGATCTATGTCCACCCAGTGGGATTATAGAAGCTTCTTTTAGCATTTCTTCAGTGTTGCTATAGCAAGTGTTACATATTCTTGAGGATTGCTTTCAGACCTGTGATTTAATTATACGAGGTACCGATGTGGTAAGTAAAATGTAGGCTTATTCGATAAGGCAAAGTGCAGT